GTCAAAGTAAATGGAAGGCATTCTTTGTGGCTGAAGCTGGTAGTAAGAATATAAACCAACTACTTAGAGTACAGTACCAACTACTTAGAGTAGTACCAACATACTACAGTACCAACTGTACTACAGTACCAACTACTGTAGTACCAACTACTGTAGTGCCAACAACTGTAGTACAGTAGCAACTACTGTACAACAGTACCAACTGTACTACAACTGTACTACTTAGAGTAGGACCAACTACTAAGTACATACACAAAAACAGCCACTGGAATGCTCGGAATAAGACTGTTGTTGTTTGTGCTTTGCCTACAAGTTTTAAATTTTCTCCTTTGAGATGACCATGAACAAGGTCACACCAGAAGTCAAGGCAGAAGTAGGACAGAGAACGCTCTTAAGGCTGGTTTGGTCATCAGAGATCCTTAAAAATGGTCGACCCCTAACAATATGTACAAAAATATAAACCGCACATAAAAGATACGAACGATTTTTCCTTCTTAAAGTGTGTTTAAAGAAGGAAAAAACAGGCCTTGGAAGTTTCGGTTCTTTTTGCCTCCTCTGTTGCAAATTCACGGTGTGGCTTTGGTGGAGCAGCGGTGAGCGCGGTCTCTGTCTGCGGGGCGCAGTCACGTGGGCGGCGGGACCCCCGCTAGAAGGTGACCCACCACATTCAGATCCTGAGACCGGAAGTGGAGGTGCATAGGCCAAGGTCATTGTGGCCTTTCGGTTTTGTCCGTTGAACTTGTCCTTTTGCTGTCTAGGCGTCCTCGTTGGTCTCTGCTTCTTGGTATCAACCTCATCAACCTCATCGCGCTGCCCTTTTGCCTACGGGGCCTCAGCCTCTCATCTTCACCTCCATCTTCTTCTTCTTCACCATCACCTTCTTTCTCCTCCTCCTCTTCTTTCTCCCCGCCTTCTTTGTCTTCTTCATCTATCTTGCTGTCAGCCCCCTGTTCCGGTTAGCGGGGCATCTCTTCATTATCCGTCTTCCCCCGCAAGCCTGGGTGGGCTGAGCCCTGGGGGAGGTAGGGGACACGCGGACTGTCAAGAGCGCACGAGTTTGTGCCCTCGGTCTGCGGGCAGCCAAGGGAACCAGGGAGCAAAGCAAAGGTGGCTTTTCCGAGCAACCAGAGGGGGTGAACGCTCGCTTCCTCACATCTTTGCCGTGAACGTTTCCAGTACCACTTAGCAAGCCAGCACTGCTTATCTTGCGTATGGGGTACTCCATCCTTGACAGGGATCATACATTTGAAAAGAGGCTTTGATTTTGTCATAAGGTGCTGTGGGGTTGGGAGGGGAAAAGGTTCTAAGTATCCTGAGAAGTAGAATTTTTCGTGTGGTGGAAAAGTGCAAAATTGTTCACTACCAATTAGTGAGTGAGCACAAGCAAATTCATGTTTACTGTTATGATTGGGTAATCTGACAGAGTACAGCGGTGAGTCAAAAGCAATGGGCAAGCCTAGCAGCTTGATCTTGATTTCTAAATCATATTACCCACTAAAAGTAATCAGAGCTTCTTGGAATAATGACTAACGCCAGGACTGGCATAGGATGCTAGCAGGTAAATTGGAAACTTCTTGCACAGGGATGCAGGAATGTCCTTAGCTATTGATGGGCACACATCACAAGGACACAGAAAATAGTTTCCATAATTTCAGCATTAAATTAGTAGTGGCCTTATTTGATGATGACATATTATAGACATTAAATGACATGGGCAATCTTAAGTGCATACAGATATAAATAAATGAATAACTTGAAAGTTTGATGAAAGGTAAGATATTTGAATGTAAAAATATTTCCCCACAAATTGTTATTAAATTTCAAAGGAAAATAGAATAATCTCACAATGGAGAAGTCTTAGTTGATCAACATGAACAGCAGCACTAAAATGAGATACAGTGAAATAATGAATTTCTTATAGGCTGCCATGATACATATATAACATATGTTCCATGGTAGTCCTGGCAAAATTGCATAGTTTGAATCTAATCAGAAAGAAACATCTAACAAAAATAAGGGACAGCCTACAAAATAATTGGCATGTAATCTTAAAAAATATGTTAAAGTCATGAAAGGTAAGGAAAGACTGAGAGGTTGTACCTGCCAAAACGAAGGAGTAAATGAAACATGTGAATCTGAACTTGATCCTTTGGACATTTGGAGAAACTTGAATGAACTTGAGGCCTGTTTGTAGAACTAAATCACTATTGATTTCCCGCTTTTGATAGTTACACCGTGGTTGTAGAGCAGAATGCTCCTGCAGGCAGGCATATATATGAAAATACAGAAAAGGAAGTATCATGTTAGGTTCCATCAAATGGCTCCTTTTGATGGGGGAGCAGGGGGAGGGGAGTGATTTTGCTATCTTGACATCTTTCTATAATTTTGTGATGGTTAAGAAAAAGTATTGTCCAGGAAAAAATATATCCGGACAACCGAGCTGGCCCTGCTATTGTTGTCAGACTGACACAGACTCACAGTGGCTCTGTGTACAATAATTGAATGAAACCCTGGGCTTGTGTCAGCCTCACAACTGCTATGTTTGAGCTCATTGCTGCAGTCACTGTGCCAGTCCATCTCATTGAGGGGCTTCCTCTGCCCCATCGTTTTACCAAGCACAATCTCCTTCTCCAGGGACTGGTCTCTGCTGATAACGCATCCAAAGTGTGTGAGATGAAGGCTCGACATCCGTGTTTCTGAAGGAGCACTCTGACAGTAAGATCTGATTGTTCTTCTGGCAGTCCCTTATTCTTCGCCAGCACCGCAATTCAAATGCATCGATTCTTCTTTGGTCTTCCTTATTCAATTCAATGCGCAACTTTCTTTTTTAAAAAGATCATTTTATTGGAGGCTCATACAACTCTTATCACCATCCATACACCCATCCATTGTGTCAAGCACATTGAGCCCTTGGTATCAGCTCCTCATTTCCCCCCCTTCCTCCCCACTCCCCCTATCCTCATGAACCCTTGATAATTTATAAATTATTATTTTGTCATGTCTTACACTGTCCAATGACTCTCTTCACCCACTTTTCTGTTGTTTGTCCCCCAGGGAGGGGTTATATGTAGATCCTTGTAATTGGTACCCACTTTGTACCCCACCTTCCCTCCACCCTCCCAGTATTTCCACTCTCACCACTGGTTCTGAAGGGATCATCTGTCCTGGATTCCTTGTTCCTATCTGTACCAGTGTACATCCTCTGGTCTAGCCAGATTTGTAAGGTAGAATTGGGATCATGATAGTGGGGCTGGTGGTGATGGTGTAGAAAGCATTTAAGAACTAGAGGAAAGTTGTATGTTTCATTGTTGCTACACTGCACCCTGACTGGCTCATCTCCTCCCTGTGATCCTTCTGTGAGGGGATGTCCACTTGCCTACAGATGGGTTTTGGGTCCCCATTGCACACTGCCCCTCATTCTCAATGATATGATTTTTTTGTTCTTTGATGCCTGATACCTGATCCCTTCATCACCTCATGACTACAGAGGCTGGTGTGCTTCTTCCATGTGGACTTTGTTGCTTCTGAGCTAGATGGCCGCTTGTTTACCTTCAATCAATGCCCAACTTTCATGTGGCCACTAATCCTAGTAGCAAATTATGAACCCTCTCTCTTTTTAATAAATCATTTTATTGGGGGCTCTTACAGCTCTTATAACATCAGTTGTATCAAGCACATTTGTCCATATGTTGTCACCATCATTTTCTAAACATTTTCTTTCTATTTGAGCTCTTGGAATCAGCTCCTCCCTTTCCCCCTCCCTCCCCCACCCTTCTACCCTTGTGAACCCTTGATAAAGTATAAATTATTATTATTTTCATATACTACACCATCTGTTGTCTCCCTTCACTCACATTTCTGTTGTTTGTCCCCTTCAGGGGTGAGGGTGTGAGGGTGTTATACTTCGATAATTGTGATTGGTTCCCCCCTACCCTCATGGTATCACTACTTCCATTATTGTTCCTGAGGGCTTTAGCTTCCCTGGATTCCATGTGATGAGAGCTCTTATCTGTACCAGTGTAAGGATTTGTAAGGTAGAACTGGGGTCATGATAGGGGTGGGGGGTGGGGGAGAAGAAGTATTAAAGAACTAGAGGAGTTGTATGTTTCACCGGATCTATACTGCACCCTGACTGGCTCGTCCCTTCCTTGTGACCCTTCTGTGTGGAGATGTCCAATTGTCTACAGATGGGCTTTGGGTCTCCATTCTGAACCCCTTGTTCACAGTGATAGTATTGTTGCCTGATACCTGATCCTGTTGGTCACATAGACTGGTGTGCTTCTTCCGTGTGGATTTTGTTGCTTCCTTGCTTCCCTAAATGCTTGATTAAGTCTTTAAGTCTTTAAGACCCCAGATGCTGTAATCCTGTAATAGCCAGACACCATCAGCTCTCTTCACCACATTTGATTATGCACCATTTTGACTTCAGTGATCATGTCAGGAAAGTGAGCATCACAGAATGCCAGGTTATTAGATCAAAGTGTTCTTGAATTGAGGGAGAGCTTGAGTAGAGGCTCAGTGTCCATCTGCTACCTTGATACTTAACATATGTACATAGACCTATATCCCTAATCTTGATATATTAATATATTTACTTATATACATGCCTATCTTTATACCACTATAAATATCTTTTGCCTCCTAGTTCTTTCTTGTATTTCCTTTTACTTTCCTCTTACAAATTATAAACTGTTACCATGGAAGGGTGTGTGTGTGTGTGTGTGTGTGCATGTATTTTCAGCTTGATTTATTCAGATGTAAACAATGAGCAATACTTCATATAAACACAAGAGTTTGGTATGTTGTAAATAAACTGATTAGATTAAAAAAGAAAAAGAAAACAGACTTGTCATAAAGGTAATAAAAGTGAAGGCAACCATACATCTGGAAAAGCATCCACTAGACATACAATACAAAGAAGTTTCAAAAAGTTCATATAAAATGGAATTAAGAGATAATAGAATTTTCCCTAAAACCTTTTAAGTTTCTCTGTTGTGCATATTGCTTTTTATTAAAAAAGCTACTCTTAAAAGCATTTAAAAGGTCAATAAGCAATAGATTAAAGTCATTTTTTCCTTTTGTAGTGTCCAGATAAACACTTTCTGAATCAGGTCAACCCTTGTGATTTGGCAAGAAAATATAATCTTTGGGTTTTCTTGCATTAACTCCATGGAGTACTCATGTTCATCAGACCCATTCATTAGTATCACTCTGATTTTAAGTATACGTATATGAAAATACACACACCAAAACAGACACTAGCTCAATGACTCCATGTGCAATTCAGGCACAGTGACTACATTGGCCAGTTTCGCAAGGATTGCCCCTCCTTTCCCACAGGATTCCTCCACCATTAACACAAACACACCACCCCCTAAATTCTCATCTAATCTTTGAAGCTCCCGTTGCCAATTTGATCTGCTATAGATAGTTCTTTCCACGAGCACAAAGCTCTAGCAGACATTCTTGATCAATTAAGCTAAATTATGGTTCCATTTTGTTATTATGTAGCATCTCTCCTTGCAGATGTTTGTTATCTTTATAAAGCCTCTCTTTAAAGTGACCTCCTTGGAGTCAGATATGTTCTTTAGGGCCTTTTCATCTTAATGTCCTTTATTTGGAGAGCGGAAGAAGAGATTTAATTATTAATATTATTTCTTAAGCAGCTCCACCTGAGCATAGCACTTTAAAATTCCGCTCCCTCCACAGCAAGATATTAGCTGGTCACCTTGACCGTGATCCATATAGCCTAATAGAATCCTCCTGCTCTGAAGTATGTAGTGTCAGTTATAAGAGGCTGTATTTCTTGAAACCATGAAGCAGTATGTCCGTGACTTGGTCCTGATCCGGTTACCCTGACTCTGGTGTAGAATAACATCAGAGGACATCATCTTGCACTGTACTCTGAATGCAGCAATTGTGCTCCTTCCCAGCAGGTGATCCTTTGAGGGACAAGGCAGGCAGCTGCCCTGAACTGAGACTGCCTGTTGCCGGGGCTATACCACACTCTCTGGGATACGAGAGCCCATGGCTATTACTTGTGACTGTCGTGCAGCTCCTTTCCTCTTTGACTTTGCTGCTGTATATAATCGTGTGAGATAGTTCATGCACCTCTTAGGGTGGGAATCTGAAAGAAAAAAAACATGTTGAAGGTAAATATTTATTTGGAACAAAGTTTCACCCATTTACTGAGAGTATATGAGTGGACAATATAATGCCAGTACATACTGACCCATAAAATCAAATATAAAATTCACAGATGAATATAAATAGCCAGAATGTTGCTATATTTTAATTTTAAAAGTTTTGTGTGGTTGTTCACGGTCCAGTTGATTCATAGTCACAGAGGACCGAGTAGAATTACCTCGCAGAGTTTCCTAGTCTGTGATCTTTGCAGAAGCAGATTACCAGGGATTTTTCTTCCATGGAACATCTGGTAGCTTTGAACTGCCAACCTTTTAGTTGTCAGCCAGGTGTTTCACTATTGTACCACCAAGCTCACTCACTGCCATCGAGCTGATCCGACTTGCAGTGATCCTAAAGGACGACAGGGGAGAACTGCTCCTGTGGGTTTCCGAGATGCTTAACTCTTAACAGGAGCAGTAGCATGAGTAGAAAGCCCGGTTTTCTTCTCCTTAGAGAGGCTGGTGGTTTAGAACTGCTGATCTTGCGGGTCACAGCCCAGCATGTAACCACTGCAGCACTAGAGCACCTTAAAGTCATGCTGTATCAATGATTTCCGAACAAACCAGAAATAAAATATACAACTTTCCTGCTATAAAGCAGCAGATGTGGTGCTGACAGAAACAACAATGTTGCCCTCCGCAAACTTGCAAACTAAAGGCCTTGGGGAAAAGGAGAGTCTTTGGGTTGTGCAAAGGTTAACATGCTTTATGGAAGTTTGAAGCCATCCAGAGAAGCTGGCGAAGAAAGGCCTGGAGATCTACTGAAAATCCACGGGGGAAAGTCCGGTGGAGGTAGTTCCACTCTAACACATGAGCTCCCAGGAGTAGAGGCGGACTCAAGGGCAACTGTTTTTGTTTTGCTTTTGTTTTATTAATAGGAAAACGGGAAGAGGCAGATCCTTCAAAATTCATGCAACTTTATAGGTGGTACCAGAGGTATTTTCTTAAATGCGCAAAAAATGAAAGTCAACATGCTGACTTGAGGGCACACGCCTCTACCAGTTGTCCTGGTGATGGTCCTGATTTAGGGCAATCCCGCATCTCCCCGGATAACTGAGTTCTGGAAGGTTTACAATGGCCCCTTCTCAGAAGCAGCTCGCCACCTTAAGGGGTTGAACTCACCAGGGCAACTTTTCAGGAGAGGGAGGCCTCAATATTGGTACTTATTTTAAATTAAAAAAAAAATTGAAATGCAAGGGATTCAACTTGTTCAACAGCTCTCACTTTCCTATACCTCGACTCCTACTGTTGTGGTTCCCTTTGCCTGGGAAAAATTCAGCAGCCACTCAGCTTACACATTACACTGGGATCACTCTCCTAGCTGCCGATTGAGTGTAAGGTAACTGATCTTACAGAAGCACATAATATTACAGACACACAACAGAGTACATATCATTGCTATATACTCTCCCCACCCTTCTTACCGCCCCCCTCCCTCGTTTTTCACACAATGAATGCCCTGTGTCCACTTCCTTACTAGGACATCTGTATTTTTCGTTTTCATTTCATATGCTACTTGGTCAAAAATTTATAAAGGCAATTGTAATAGACAGGCATCCTAGGCAAACCTCAATCAAATGAAGAGAAAAGTGGGGCAAACTTGTACATTTCTCATGTCTTGGCAGATGGAACCGTTATTTCAAACGGAGGGTGTAAAATGATTGGAAGGTTTATGATTATTGATTCAGTATAGTTCTAACTTCTGACTACTGGATCTTTGTCATGAAGAAACACATAAACACACACAATTTAAACTCCTTTTCTCATTTAAATTCTTTTCATTTTCTTTACATATTTTGCTTGAAGAATTTCAATGAAGTCATCCAAAAAACCTAAAATATATTTTTCTTGAATTATTTAAACTTTATATTCATTTGGTGAGAGAAAGATGAGGCTCTCCACTCCCGTAAATATGACAGCCTTGGAAACCCACAGGGGCAGTCTACTCTGTCCTACGAGGTCACCAGGTGCCAAAGTGGATTCGGTGACAGCTAGTGGGTGATGCTCATTTGTAGTCCATATGACTAACACATTCAACTATTAAAGGAAACTTGGGAGGTTAAGTGTAAGCTGGCAATCTATTTCTAAAAACTCAGTCAAGGGATCAATGTATTCCCCCCGCCCCACTCCCCTTCATTTGACGAACAACAGAAACACGGGTGAAGGGAGACAGTGGATTGTGTAAGATATGAAAATAATAATAATTTATAATTTTCCAAGGGTTAACAAGGGTGGGAGGAAAAAAAGAGGAGCTGATACCAAGGGCTCAAGTAGAAAGAACATGTTTTGAAAAGGATGATGGCAAACTATGTAAAATGGGCTTGATCCAATGGATGTCTGGATTGTTAGAAGAGCTATAAGAGCCCCCAATAAAATGACTGATTCAAAAAAAATAAAGACTGTAATAGCATGACCCAATGAAAAAAATTAGTCATTGACCATGGTGCAACACGGCTCTCTGCAGGCCCAGCCGGGGTCACTGTGTATTAGAGTCCAGCAGAAAGCCGCTGTTTTATTTTTAGAATTCCTTCAATTTGTCACTTGCTTGGTGCCAGCTCCTGTACTAGGGTGGAGTAAGTCCAGTGACTCACTACCGGAAGGAGTGCTGTGGTAGGTAAATGAAGGCACCCCAAATTACACTCTAACGGAAGGGCAACATTGATAAATCTCACGGCAGGAGCCTGTGGTTCTGCAGCTGTGCCTACTTCTGACGATGGATGGTGACTCCCCATGTAGACATAACTTCAGCTACATGAACTTAACTGATACTTGATATTTATTGAGACACACTTTCATACGTTTGCAAGATGAGTTAGAAGGCTGATTTTTGTCTATTGGTAAAAACCAAACTTTGATTTTTTACCCTCCCTCTTTCAGGTAACAAATGAATGCACCATATTTGTAGTCTCACATCATGTAGCTTACTTACTTTGACCATTTTTCTCTTGGGATGATGTTTCTTCATTGTTTGACCTAAATTTGTAATTTTCCGGTATGTTATCTGCAATTTCATTTTCTGCAAAAAAGGAAAGTCAAATTACTAATTTTTGTCATTGTCTCAAAAAACAAACAAGCTATATTTATTGTCAAAGAATTACTACCAACTCACAGTGACCCTATAGGATAGAGTAGAACTGCCTCTTTGGGTTCCAAGCCTGTAAATCTCTACAAGAGCAGCAAGCCTCGTCTTTCTCCTATAGATCTGCTAGGGGGTTTGAAACACTGACCTTGTGGTTAGCATTCCACCGCACAACCAGCTATAACACCAGGGCTATATAGACATTATTTATAGTAGAAATGTACATTTGGATGATATCTCATTGGCTTTATCGATCCAATAAACAGTTTGGAACTTTTACTAATAAGAGTTGTGGGAAGTCAAAATGATAGCAGATAGAATCAAATATTTCCCATCAAATAACACCAAAGGAACAAATCAAGTAGTTTTAAAAAGAACTTGGGGATGAAACATTAGTGAGAGCTTTTGAAAGAATACAGTATTTGCTTTTTGTGTTGGTACATAGCTGAAAAATCAGATCCTGCCATTAGGGCTAATAAACATGCTAATTCTTCTGAATAGCTAAAGACACCGATGTGGCAGTTGCATAATCTACCATCAACTTGTGATGGGGTGGAGTGTAGCCTGTCAATCAGGTTGCAGCTTGATGACCTCATTTGGAGGTGTGAAGGAGGTTCATAGCTCACTGGAGGCCAGAGAGATTCTCCTTGCTGACAAACCACATGGAGGCATGTTGATGACAGCCAGAGGCTGGGAGCTGGAGGAGCCTCGTGGAGACCTGCACCAGGCCTGAGATCCACCACTGGATCCACCACTGGCCAGGGATCTTCCTGACTTCAGCATCATTGCCTGCGCTATGTGTGTCTCAAGAGGAATTCATGGGCTGCTACTGTATTGGATTTAAGGGCTAATAGTGAATTCATCGACTTGGTCTGTACTGGACTGGGATATTTTCTTAATGTATAATTGCTCTTTGATATAAAGTTCTCTCTTACACACATATGAATCTCTATGAATTTGTTTCTCTAGTCTAACAGGACTAACACAACTGACATTAAACTAGAAGTACTTTCCAGAGGATTAGAGTTCTTAAAAGGTATACTATTTTGTCTTCTGATATAACCATTTCTCTGTCCCTGGAGGTGCTTTTGAACCACATGTGGCAGGATTAGTACTGTCCAATAGCACTATCATATGACCTCATGCATAATTAAATTTTTCTAGGAGTCATGCTAACAAAGGAAAAAAGCTGATGAAATTAATTTAATAACATATATTATTTGACTCAGTAGGTCCAAAATATCATTAGATATAATACAATATTATGAGGATGTACACTGAGTGCTCAGTTCACAGTGTATTTTAAATTGAAAGCACAATCCAATAGTTTAGCTTAACTAGTAAGAAATGTTGACATTAATGCACAAGTTAAAGGCAGCAGAGATAAATACTGTTAAATCTTGCAGTAGATTCATGGATAGACATGAAGGCTGACCACGCGGAGAAGGAAGAGTGTGTGTATACGTACAAATATATACAGGCTTGACAGAGTATATTTATAATTGGATATTAAAATGTGCTGCAAACATATACATGAGTGTGATGGAGTATATGGGGGCAAAGTTATGAAAACTTCTTGGACACACCTTAGTTGCTGAGTCTGCGGGATCAGGACCATAGTCTTTCCTGAGAGACACCAAAGCCAATCGGTGTAGCATAGTGCCAAACGACAGTGCTCTGGCCCTACTCAAAACCTACCCCCAGGAAATGATCACCACAGACATGGGTGCTATCGCCAAGTGTGGTAAAGAAGCAGATAGTACCTGACTATCAGAAAGAATAACATCTGGGCTCTTGAAAGTGGGTCTTAAAAGAAGCAGACACCAAATGAGGTGTTGGCTAACTCCACACAGAGGAAGCACACCAGCATGTGTGATCCAAGAACTGTAAACAATAAAATCCAAGCTCGGAGAAGGGAATGGTGTTCCTGCTTAAATTCTAGACACCTGGTTTGCAGAAGACTGTGGGTGACAGTGAAAGCCCCAAACCCATTGCAGGGTCCCCCATTCAGATTCAGCCACTCTGACAACGGACCACAGATGGGAAAGAGCTTGTAGCCAGTAGGGTGGATTTATTCCCAAGCGGGACACAACATGTCATGGCCTCGCGCTGTTCTCTTAAATCAGCTATCACAAAAAACCCAAGTCCGAGCAAAATTACTTTCACGAAAAAATTTACTGTGATGAGAAAGACCCTTCCCAGGCGACACCACTGGTTGCACCTACTCAGAGCGAGTTGCCTGATGCTCAACTAGTGGGGAAAACACGCACTACGAAAGCTCCAGCCAGTGGAGCTTTTTCTCCGTGTTTTTTGTTTTGTATATTCTCAACAACAACAATAAAATAAATCAAGCTGGGAAACATTATTATAGCAGAGTGAGTGCAAAGTAAGAATGGAACTGAAGCGTCCATTATACTCAGCCTCTGTTCGGTCACCTATAGACGATGCGCTCCTTGAGACAGGGACCTGGGGGGTCCTGCTGGCCACTGTGGCCCAGTGCCTGCACCGGCTCCTGGCAGACAGTCCGTGCTCAACGGATGCTAATGGACAAACGAAATTTGTGCTTTCTGCCTGTTGCCTCCTTGTATGAATAGAAGGTTTTGTGAATAGCGCCCGAGCGGCTTTGGCTTCCCTTGACTGTACTCTGACTGGAACCCGAAAGTCCTAACCCAGTGGTTCTCAACCTGGGGGTTGTGACCCCTTTGGGGGTCGAACGACCCTTTCACAGGGGTCGCCCGATTCATAAGAGTAGCAAAATGACAGTGCTGAAGTAACAACGAAAATAATTTGATGGTTGGGGGGCCACCACCACATGAGGAACTGTATGAAAGAGTCGCGGCATTAGGAAGGTGGAGAACCACTGCCTAGCCAAACCTACTGCGGCCAAGTCAGTTCCAAGTCACAGCCAGCTGACAGAGTAAAGCAGCCCCACAGCACTCCCAAGCTAGAGGCTTTGGGAACAGACTGCCGCGTCTTTCTCCTGTGGAGCAGCTGGTGGCTTTGAACAGCTGACATTGCAATTAGCAGCCAGGTACTTAACCAGTGGTCACGAGAGCCCGAGTTTCCTGGAAAGTAAGTAAGTGCTGACTCACAACCTTTATACACTGGATTGTGAAACATGTAATGGAGAAGCTTCAATGAACAAATTTTCTTTTTCTTCAGTCAGTTGTTTTGGCTGCGCTCATTCCCTCTGGCCACTCACCCTTTTTCCATACCACGTGCGCTTTCCGCAGCTTCATTACGAAGAGCTGGACAATGATGAAGAGTGTGAGAATGAGGAAGGACACAAGGGTGATCAAGAGCACGCCGCTTTTCTTACTAATCAATTCTATAGATTTGGGATTCGCATCTATAAAAGAAACGAAGAGATTTTAGACAGTTTTATTTTTGGTCACAGAGGAATATATACATTACTTTGAACATTCCGTGTAGGCTGATGGGCATTCAGATAAACAGATGAGGGGGCATTTTACCCTCAGGTAAAGGGACTCTTATTGTTCATTCTCTGCATGCAAGCAAGCAAAGCAATCCTGGGAGGTGGCCTGTAATGTTTTACGTTACATCAATATTGAGCTAGTTATTTTGAAATTCACCAGAAAGCCTGCCGGAAAATTCACTCCAATTGCAGGCAAATTAGTCATAAGGAATGATTTCTTAACAAAGTAATTAAGTAGCAACACAAATTGCTAAGAAGTTTGGAATGCTATGCAAATAAAATGAGACACCATTTATTATGGTTACAGTACATGTAATTTTGCATGAAGATATTTAGGGATGAACAAAATGAACGCTTAGAGGTCACTCTGAACCTAGAGTCTATATAGTGTTGTTTTGCTAAAATTCTCAATGTCTTCCTTTTAGCTAATAAGCGATTTTGCGCTTGCTGGTCGGTCACCATGCTCAGAGTTGTGTAAGACGCAATCCTTGTCCATCTAAGTGAGGCCACTTGAAAGGAGCACGTGTGCCCATGTGATCCAAGGATTCTAGATAATAAAATCCAAGGTAAAAGGAGGAAAGTAGAGTTTACAATCTGAGCACTCACTTTGCAGAAGGCTATGGAGAAGAGTGAAAGCCCAAATCCACGTAGCGAGCCCCCATGTGGATGAAGCCTCCAGTGAGCTGCCCCAGACTAGGGATGTGAATAATCTCGCCCGCAGACAGCGTGCATTGGAAAATGGATTACTGAGGGTATAATTGAGTTAAATTTAATTTAATGGATTACTGCAGATATCATTGAGTTAAACAAACTATCATTTGATTTTCCTTTTGATACACTTTAATATGTTCCCGTTTCTGCTGTCTTCCGCTTTCTTTTGAGCTATTTCTGTTTTATTTTGTGATTGTTTTTTGTAAAATTTTCTTTACCTGAAATGTAGGATGGGTAATCCAGAGAGATAGGAATGTGGTTAATAGTTCCTTAGGGTTATGGCAGGGCAGGTTGGGGATAACAGGAAGCTAATGGTTAACAAAGAGCACATGAATGAAGAAAATGTTCTAAATTGATTGTGATGATGATTGCACGGCCCTTTAAAATATACTTAAACCACTGAATTGTATCATACATGAATTATATACCAATCAAACTGTTTTGTTTGTTTTTTTAACATGCAATCCTTGCATTTTGAAGGCCGGTGGGGCTTTCGATTACAGATTGCATAAGTTGGTTAAAATGATACCGTCCAGACACACATCTTTCTTGGTGTTGAACCGTGCAGCGTTCCCTTCTTCTGCTTGAAGGACCGCTTCTTGGTCTGTGCATTCCAAATGCATACAAGGAAATGACCTGGAATTTCCATTCTTCACAATGTTATCCATAGTATCTTATGATCCATTGTCAAGTGCCTCTTCATAGACAGAGAAACACAAATAAAGAACTTTCTGGTATTCTTGCTTATAGCCAAGATCCGTTGAATGTGAGCACTGATATAATTCCTTATTCCACATTCTCTTTGAAATCTGTCAACTTTTTGACAGCTCCCCCTCTACGTACTGCTTCAATGGTTTTTATGTTTTCTTCAGCAAATGTTCCTTGTATGTAAGGTGTCAAACATGGATGATAGAAAAAGAAACTGAAGTTTCATCACTTCATGCAGGAGATAATACATGTCTGGACCAGGGAGGTGGATAAAATAAAGAACAAAATACCTAAAAGAGAAGCCTCAAAAGGCCATTGGGCTGACCAACTAAGAGGTTCAAATGTCGAGTGTTAATTCTAAACGCAGTGGGCAGCACCTACCAGTGGCTAAGTCAGTACTTTGAGTGAATTGTTCTTCCTCTTTCTTGTCAATCTCTGATGTACTGGAATCTTCCATGCCTGTGACTAAAGTGAGAGAAAGCAAGACACCATGTATTAGTATGCATGTATCATAGACATGTGTGACTATACACCCACGCACACAGGGGGACTTTATAGAAAAATTCACAGAAAAATTCCATTATCTTTTAATTCCATAAAACCTTTTCCCATAAAACCTTTGAGGCCCCTGTGTTTATCTAGAGAGATAGAGAAAGATTCACACTCCAGGACAAAGACAGGACAGTCTGCTTCTGTCAAGACGACAGTCTTAGAGACCCGATGGCGTGGTTTCACTCTGTCCTAGAGGGCTGTGGGAAGTTGGATGTGACTTGGTGGCAATGGGCTTGATTTTTTAGTTTGTTGTTATGAGGTGCCATCAAGTCAGTTTGGGCTCATCGTGACTCATGGACAGGAGACTGCAACACGGCCTGATCCCGGGTGCTCTCGCTGAGCATATTCCTGCAGCCTCTTTGTCAGTTAATGTCCTTGTGCGCTCTTTTTCAGCCACCAAGGGTGGTGCTCTTCTCCAGAGACGAGTGCCTCCTGCTCACACGTTCAAAGTCACTGGGTCAAAGGCGCACTCTGGCTGTATTTCCTTGGAGACCTATTTGTTTGTTCTGACAGTCGATGGAATAGTCAATGTTCTCCACCAACACCGTCATCCAAAGGCATCGGTTCTCCTTTGGTCGTCCTTCTCTCTTCGTTGCTCAGCTTTTGCACACATGCGAGGGACGGAAAATACCACAGGTTGGCCAGGCACGCCTTCGCTTCCAAAGTGACGTTTCTGCGTTTTAGCACTTTAAAGAAGCTTGTGCAGCAGACTTGCGCAGTACAGTGATTTAGACTTCCTCATCGCTGCCTTTACGGCACAGATGGCAGGTCCAAGCCAAAGGGAACCTTGGACAGCATCATGATGTGCTTCTTTGACCATGATACTGCTTATTAATCAATGGTATGGCTCTTTGTTTCCTTTATGTACAGTGCATCAAGCCGTCTCACTCTCATCCAGCAAGGTTGCTGCTCAGTAGTAGATCACTAGCCCTCTCTTCTACCGCAGCTCTAGGTGGACCGGAATCTCCCACCCTAACCTTAGCTACCAAGGATGGCAGTCATTTCTACTCTCCAGGAATTCCCTCTCTCTCTCTCTCTCTCTTGCTCGCTCGCTCTCTGCCTTCTCAAAACATCTTGAGAGGTGAAATAAAGCAATCCATCATAAGGAACAAAACAAGGTTATTTTTGAAATAAAATTTTAGCAAGAATATTTGCAGATGGGAAGATTCACTTTGCCTTTTTGAAGGTCAGCATTAATCAGGCACTGACTGTGCGAGGCCTTGCCTTGAAGACTTGGCATATGCTACCTTCACCACAGTTCTGATGAAGCAGAGCATTGGGACTGTGGGCAAATTGCCTACAATCTAACATCGAGTCAGAAGCAGAACCAATAAGAGCTCAGCTTTGTTGTACTCTAATCCGAGAGTCTGGAATTTAAGCCCTTCTATTCAAAGCACCCGATACTTTTGGGAATCAGGCCTGTTAGAGACGTGGCCTTCTAGGAGCTTGAAGAAAACAATTGAACAGCGGAGTGGCCTCCCAGGCTTTGTGGATAGAGAACTTGGTTCTGAAATGCACAAAGCAATGATTTGTATCTTAAAAAATAGGTTCAGTTGCCGTTCAAAATATGCTTGCCTCCCCTTAGCTTGGGATGTACTATGCAGTCTTGCAAGATAAAATAAGTTATCAAAATAAAGGGGTTCTTTTTCTAATTTTGTTGCTAACCTTCCCTATTTTCAGTGGCTCCCCGCCCCCCGCTTCTTCCCTTTGTGGTCTCCTGTTCTCCGGGTCGCTGCACAGCGCCACTATGTGGCCCTCAAGGGGAATTAAACCCGCCTCCCTTAACAAAAAACAAGCCGAAACACCCTGAAAATTGATATTAACCGTAATACAACTATGGAAATTGAAAACAGGAAGACTTTTAGAAACCATATTTTTTCAAATCTTATGCTACATATGAAAAAATCAGAGCAGAAAATTGAGTTGTTTCGTGGTAGCGTAAACCAATTTAAAGACAACTAGATTCTAAACACGTTTAAAGCAATTGGATTTTACAAGCAAGTGATGTCTTTGTTCCATTTCATAATATTGTCTATTTCTATGGCTATGCCAACAACTGTATGGTACATGTTTTATTTATCAGGGTTTAAACACATTCAAGCATTTACTTCTAAGTATTACTCGGGATACCAAAATTTTTAAATGCGATATGTTATTCAAAGATATGAACATGATAATGATATGAAAGCATTTATTCCTCCAAGTGAAATGACTACAGAGGGACTCGATGGAACACATTGAAGAGGTGGGAATTTATGCCTTTCTGGACGACACTGTCTGGCTCAAAGAACCTAACAAGTTCATTCATTTATTCATTCATTCATTTATCCATTCTGTAATTCCTGAGCCCTGACTATTGCTAGATATCCTGCTAGGGAAAATACAAAGATAATTCAATATATGACCATCGCTCCCCAACTATCTGGATTCTAAATTCTCCTGCATTCATAGTTCATCCCCATCACCAAAATAATCTGAATGTGAACCACGTCACTGAACGGTACATATAAAAACTGTTGTGTTGTCAAATGTTTTGTTTTTTGAACACACACACACACACACACACACACACACACACACACACCAATAAGAAAGAAACAAGAATACCCGGGTTCTTGACGACCATATAATCCACGTGTCTTCAGAATGATTTTTTTATTCAGTGACAAAGCACACCAGATCTCCAGGCACTGCTCTTTTGCTCGGTCTGTTGGGTTTGGCCCCTGCTAGATGGCAAGCCAAACACACCATCTCCCCACCAACGAATCTAACCCTGTCCTTCACTACAGTGGAAGGTCAAAGGTTCCCCTCAGAAAAACACTTGCCTTTATATAAATTCCAGTGAACATATTTATATATTATTATGTTATATGTTTACACATAGTTTTCCTTAAGAAGCAAAATAGCCCTGACCATACAAAGCATCAGATTTTACACTGAAGCCTATCCTGTGTACTCAGGAGCACTCCAGCGGCGAGAGGACTGTAAACTTCGAGCCAGTTAGTCGAGGCCTCTAGAATCTTTCAAAACATGAAAATTACTCTTAAAAATGAGATTTTGAGAAGTGACCCTCCCAAGGAGGCATGCTCTTAGAACAAGTCCCAATGACGTCACTCTTACCGGTACTGGTGGGCTGCTGAGGGCTTTGAGCTGGTGGAGCATTCTCTCCTTGAGCACCTGGAGCACTCTCTTGGTCAGTAACTAGGGAAGAAGGAAAGCAAAATTCTGCAACCATGGAGCGACATTTTATCCACATGGTGCTCAGTCTAACAGACCGGAGCCAGTTCTGGTTGTTACCTGCAGAAACCTCAGAGCTATGGGTCCTGCAGCTCATGCTCAGATTTCGGAGGCTGCATCCTGCTGATCGTCCATCTGCTAACCTGACTAGCTTAGAAGTATGGCATGCTGGACTCTGAGTAGTGCCGTGTTTGGCAGGAGGTAAAGAGTATTCAGGGTCTGTCTTTATTGGTATATATTTGTCTGTCCGTCCATCTATCCATCCATCCATCCATCCATCCATCCATCCATCCATCCATCCATCCATCCACTTGTTTATCCATCCACCAAGTCGCACATCTGTCCTCTATTTCTTAATTGGGTTCACCGGTGGTGCTAATAACTAACCCTAACCCTAACCCTGACTGCTAACTGAAAGGGTGGAGGTTTGCATCCACCTGGAGGTGCCTCAAAAGAAAGTTCTCTTGAGCCCCAATCTAAGAACAATTCGTTCTTATGAAATGGTCCCACTCAATTCTTGCTCTCATGAAGGGATAATTGAGGAGATGAATGCTGTAGCGAAGTGGGGTGTAGAAACCAGATGGTACCAGGCTATCCGAAAGAATAGTGTCTGGGGTCTTACGGGCTTGTCTTCAAACAAGCAGCCTTCAAACAAGGGAGGCTTCAATTCAGTCCACATGGAAGAAGCACAGCAGCCTGTGTGATCCAAAGACTGTAAACAATAAAAATCCGAATTTGAAGGAGGAAATGGTATCAGCACTTAAATTATGAACATCCAGTTTGCCAAAGGCTATGGATGACAGTGGAAGCCCAAAATCCAATTGTAGGGTCCTCCCATGAATTAAGGCTCCAACAAATTCCTTTTGACCATATTCCAGGGACATGAATAGTCTTGCTTTCAGACAGAGAGGATTGTAAAGTTGATTACAGCAGATGTAGTTAGGTTAAAATGCAACACCTTATCATATGATAACCTAGTTTTCATTTGTTTCAGTTTTTAAAACTTTCCTCCTTTTTTTGATTGAGGTTTTTCTGTTTAGTTTTGTCATTTTGTATGTGTGTGTACTTTGTATGATTTTCTGTTTATGAAATCTAGAGTAGGTAAATCTATAGAGATGGTCACTGCATTAATAAGTCCCTAGGGGCATGGTAGGGGAGTTGGGGGGAAACAACAATGTGCATGAGAAGAAAATGTTCTGAAATCGATTGTGGTGATGATTGCACAACTCTTCTTAATATGATTGAAAATTACATTTTATGATCTATGAATTAGATGCCAATACAATTAGTTTTAAACAAGAAATTCTTGGTTATCTACTTCCAAATCATCCTCATTGACAACTCCATGGGCACAGTTGTACTCTGAGCCACTCGGCGCGAGTCAGAAGCAGTAACAGAGCACTGGTGCGGGCCTGGCTGGGAGAAGATGAGCTCTGTGACCAGCAGCACTGACAGGATGAAGGTCAGAGGACTGAGAAGAGGAAGAGCTTAACACGGAAGTGAAAACAAGTATTGAAAGCACCTCACAGGAAGAGCAGACAATGGAAATCTATCACGCAAATATAATAAGGTTTTCCAGTAATGATTAAGATTTTCAGAGCAAGGAATACTGCGCCGATCTAGCTGACTATGCATGCATGGTCAAGACTGGTGTGCCTGTAAACATATATAAATGTATGTTTAAACTAGAGCTTGTCTTTGACTTCTCCTTTTAGATCATGAACTGTTTAATAAATGCCCTTAGACTGAATGCTGTTTTTATTAGAGGGATATTAGTGAGCTATGACTTTATTCCTGGTCTAACAGGATATTGTGGGCCTGTGTTAGCCAATACAATAGCCAGTAGTCATGGATTAATTACTTAAATTATTCAAAGCTGTATTTCAAGTGCTCAATAATAAACTTAGAACTTTAGAAATCCACTACCTTGTGCTTGACAGATGCCAGTGTTTAAGAGTTTTTGATGGACTTGTTGATGATATTAATATGAATGTGCTTCTAGTATTGAGTTATGTCAACACTTGACAGATACACATAACTCATTGAACATTACTTTCCAAAGGACCAGTGCTTGATGTTGCAAAATCATGCCTGGGTAAAAAATCCATCTGATGGAGACCCAAAGCCCATTAGTAGGCCACTGGAGATCCCCTTGCAGAGGGGTCTCAGGGAGGAGACGAGCCAGTCAGGGTGCGATGTAACAAC